AGAACTAACACCGTCTAATCCATTGTTTAAACAGAATTTGTCTAACCAAGAACTAACACCGTTTAATCAATTGTTTAAACAGAATTTGTCTAACAAAGAATTAACACTGTCTAATCAAATGTTAAACACAGAATTTGTCCAACCAACTGTCAAACACACAATTTGTTTAATCAATTGTCTAATACAGAATTTGTCTCACCAAGAATTAACACTGCCTAACCAACTGTCTAATACAGAATTTGTCTCCCCAAGAACTAACACTGTCCAACCAATTGTCTAATCAAGAAATAACACTGCCTTACCAATTGTCTAACGCAGAATTTGTCTATCTACGAACTAACACTATTTAACCTATTGTCTAACCAAGTTGCAGAAAACCCACCGAGTTCTTTTTTCTCCCCAGATGACCTCTAAAATTCCCGAAACAAAACCAAAAAAGAAACACGTGCTTACCTCATAGCGTGTCCATCCCGCTGTTGGCGTGGGAGGCCAGAACGCGGGCCGATCGGATGCATCGTGCACCATCCCTCGTCCGAAGGGTGGATGAGTGGTCCTCAGAAATCCTCCCCTCCCATTGGAGGAGGAGGAGGAGGGATGGAAGATTCGAGCGTGGCTGCCATCTGGACAACGGGTGCCATAATTCACTCGTCATCACAATTTGGAAGCCGTTCAAGAAATTCAGATGGTTCGGCGATGTGTTTCGGTATCCTGGTGGGGACATGCTCCAGCTAGCATTTTAAATCGGGGGAAAAAGAAATGATATGCATATTTCTGTTAGCACATCTTATTTTTAACTTCTGCACTTATGAATGTGGATTCGGTTTTTGATGACTTGCCTTTTTAACCTTAGAAAAATTTCTCAATGATTAATTTGGTTAACCTCAACCTGTGGTATACGAAAATAATATCAGTAATGGCGGAAAACACATAAATTGTTGGCTGAATTGTTTGTTGTAGCATTGGTTGTCAGTAGATCCTTCCACCACCAATTATAGTGTATGATTAGGCGTACGTCCCTTCCCCTCCCTTTTTTGTTGTTCTTTTCGATTCTAATAATTCTTCAAAAAAATATATCGAATAATTTCATGGGTTTCTGATATTGATTGACATAGATCATCATTTTAGTTTTCTATTGGACTTGGTTGTTGTGAGCTTTTATTAAATGTTTGTAGTTGAAAATTACAATACTATTAGTTTTGATGTTCTGTAGAGGATATTAAAAATGGACTACAATGTTTAATGAACAATCAAAAATAAAACTATATAAATGCCCTCACTTTGTGTGGTTCGATTTGGAAGTAGAAGCTGTTCCAGCTGAGTGAGATGGAATGTTAGTTGTGAAATATGCTGACCATGTAAGGTGTGAAATGTAGGTTAGTAATTCTCAATCAGGGATACGCGAAAATAATATTAGTAACAGCGGAAGGCACATAAATAAACGAATTAGGATTAAACTGGATGTCAGTAGCTCGGATCAATTTTTGACGACTCACTTTTTTTAACTTTAGAAAAGTGATTCTCTCAAGAATTGATTTGATTAAATGTAATTTATGATTGCAGATCATTCATCAATAGCTTTATTTCATTTTTCCATTGTATATTTAGACTACATGGAAGAAATAAGTTTAACTGATAGATAATTTTCCCTATCAGTTGACCTCCTGGCCTTTGGTACCATAGACTTCAGGTTCACACCATGGGTGTGGCGTAGACAGTTCGAACTAGCATTGATGGACTGTAGATAATAGCATAGATGGACTGTAGATAATAGCATAGATAGATCCCAGCCTAATTAGCCGGAAAGTGTACGCAAAAAATAATCCTAGAGTGATAAACCAAACCTGTTGATCTAAACCTGTTGATAGATGTCCAAATCTATTAAATCTTTAGCTTCTTTTAAAAAATGTACTCATTTGTAAATCTAGTTCCTATGTTCCAGATTCTATTGTGGAATTATTTATTAAGATTTTCTTTAGGTACTTTTACAAATATTAGAAAATATGTAGTAGCATATATAAAAGGCAAAGTGGCAAGCGAAAACAATACTGTTATTAAGTGCTAAAACATGATATATTTTAATAGTTAAATAGTTGGTTTGTTTTCTAAACTCTTTATTGAGTTAAAAATAAATCTTGAAATCATGCTTCCCACTGACAAGTGCGCCCCCTGTGGAGTTCAGGAAAAATGGTCAGGTTGGCTTACAAACTCTGACAAGAGAGCGGCCTGATGGCCAATTGACTAGCTCTCAGGCCTTTGACACCACAGGCTTCAGGTACGAATTCTGGCAGTGACACGGATGTTTGTGAGTGGATCTGAATCCACATTAAACTTTATGTCCCAGTCAAATTAGCTTAAAGTGGCGAAAAAAATGACAGTAGAGCGATAAACCAAGCTTATCAATTGATTTTACTCCTTTAACCATTCCGACTGTACTTCTATTTAATATTTGCATATTTTATGAACACATTAAGTTAATTCGTGAAAATTAACTTTTAACTCCAGACAAACACGATCATTTTGGGCTACTTTGTATTCTAAGGCAAACATAAATTTACTCCTTACTAGGTCGTATATCTGATAAAAGTCCCTTCTGTCGCGATTCATAGAATTTAAGAAGGATTCGATTCGATGTCTTTCAATATCTAAAAGATTGGTAAGGTGCAGCGAGTTATTTAATGCTTACGACTGCTTGCATTTACATTCCATTATTTATTTTTTCAATTCAATAGTTCACACTATCTCTATATATAACTTGTTCAAATTTTCAACCGTTAATAAAATACTTTTTATTCATCCACTCAAGTTCAATAAAAAATTATAAAAATCATTATCACTTCATTATTTTAATCAATCATTATCACTTCATCATTATTTTATACGAAATTAAAAAATAATAAAAATAAGCCAATTAAAATCAAAATATCTTAAAAAAGTTTGATTTTATATTTAACATTAGTTCATCAATTGATTCATTAGTTGGACATTTCTTAGTCCAGAGCAAAAAAAGATTTAAAACATAAATTTTTTGGCAAAATCTTCTCTTCTAACTCTGGCAAAGGATGAGTATTATGTACATCAACAAACAAAAAAAGTGCTTTTTGAGCAAAAGTCGGCGTCAGTTATTATTAAGGAAGAGGTGAGAGAAGTGAACAGACGAAAACTTATGCGTAGGAGGATGAAGCCAGAAGGCACCATCTCACACCAAGATGAATAGGAGGGCGATAAAAGTGTGCCGGGAGAAAATATCGTTCCCTTCAACTTCATTACTCGGAGAATTTAAAGGGTTTGTTATGTAGGTTAACCGGAAGAAGATAAACGACTGCAACACTTTGCATGTCAAGGGATATTTATCGATGGTGGTGGAAGAGGTAGCATGAGTTGCTGACTGGGGATGGAATGCTAGTTGCGGAATGTGTTGACCATTTAAAGTATGAAGTATGATAACAATGTAGGACAGTGGTTCTCCATCTGAGGTATACGATATTAGTAATAGCGAAAAACACATAAATAAATGAAACAGATTCATGGTTTGTCGCTCTAAGGTCATTTTTTACCCTTTAGGATAATTAGACCGGACCTACAGTTTAATGTGGATCTCGAACCACTTAGAAACATCCATGCCACTGCCAAGATTCGAAACTGAAGCCTGTGGTACCAAAAGTCAGAGCACTAGCCAATGATTGGAGGAGACTTGTCTTTGGAGTTCGGTTCAGCAATACTTGGTTTGAAGTTCTACAAATGATGCACAATCGAAAGCTTCAATGTATATGGCAATAATGGACACTGTAAATTTGTAAGGCGGAATGTAGCTGATTAGCCATCAGGCCGCTAAAAGAAACGTGAGTAAGTTGGTTGTTGTAGCATTGGTTGTCAGTAGCTCCTTCCACCACCAATCATATCGCGTGGTTAGAGGTGTGACCCTCCCTCTTTTTGTTGTTCTTTTTCGATTCTAGTAATTCTTCTAGAATTATCTAGTGGCCAAATGGTTAGTGCTCTGGTCATTGTTACCACAGGCTTCCACTTTAAACTGTAGGTCCCGGTTTTAATTAGCCTAAAGTGTGCACAAAATAACCGTAGAGTGACAAACTAAAGACAAATCATTATATTTTTGTATCATCATACAAAATTCAAAAATATTAAAAATAAGTCCATTAAATTTTAAATGTCGTAAAGAAATTCGATTTCATGTTTGAACTGTACTCATAGCAGCATGGGTCATTAGTTGAACATGTTTTAGTCCAGAGCAAACAAGATAAAAACATTAAATTCTTTGGCAAAAATCTTCTCTTCTAACTCTGGCAAAGAATGAGTATTATGTGCATCAACAAACAAAAAGTGCTTTTGAGCAAAAATCGGCGTCAGTTGTTTTAAGAAAGGGGTGAGAGAAGTCAACAGAAGAGAAACTTGTGCGTGGGAGGATGAAACCAGGAGGCACCATCTCCCACCAAGATGAATAGGAGGGCGATAAAAGTGTGCCGGAAGAAAATATCGACTTCATTACTTGGAGAATTTAAAGGGTTTGCTATGTGGGTTAACCGGAAGAAGATAAACGACTGCAACACTTTGCATGTCAAGGGATATTTATCGATGTTGGCGGAAAAGGTAGCATGAGTTGCTGACTTGGTATGGAATGCTAGTTGTGAAATGTGCTGACCATGCAGGGTGGGAAATATGGCAATAATTCAGGACAGTGGTTCTCGATCTGGGGTATGTGAAAATAATATTAGAAATAGGGGAAAATACATAAATAAAGGAAATAGGAGTAAGGTGGTTGTTGCATCATTGGTTGTCAGTAGTTCCTTCCACCATCAATCATATCGCATGTCTAGGCCGTGGCCGGCCCTGACTTTTTGTTGTTCGATTCAAGTAATTTTTTAGAAATATCTCGAATAGCCTCAAAGGATTCTGACATTGATTGACATAGATTCTCATTTTAGTATTCGATTGGGCTCTATTGCTGCGAGCTTTTATTAAATGTTTGCAGTTGAAAATTGCTAACTGCTATATTATGATGAATATACCGGTTCTTGTTCTATCATCGAAGTCAAGCATCATCGGGCGTGGTTAATACTTGGGAGGGTGACCACCTGGGAAACACCATGTGCAGTTGGCATTTAAATTTTGGGGGCTGATGGTCAAATGACTAAATGACTAGCGCTATAGCACTCGGTGCCACAGGTTTGGGGTTTGTGTCCCATGGTTCCATGAATGCTTGTAGTGGTTCGAATCCACTTTAAAGTGTGCATCCCCGTCCAATGTGACTGTTGGGCTTAGGGCTGGCAAAACCGTACCTAATAAAACGTTACATTCCTGGCAGGTTAGACCCGAGGCCCCCCCCTCTTTTGTTGTTCTTTTTTATTCTGGTAATTCTTCTAGAATTATCTAGAGGCCAATTGGCTAGCGCTGTGGCCAAAAATGTATTAATAAATAATTTTATTAATAAATTAAAAATTATTTCCTGGCATATCAAAATTGTTCATGGATTTTTAAAAACTTTTTGGAAAAAAAATGACTGAATTTTTTCATTCACCGATTATGTGTTGAGTTACAATTGATATTATTATATTTACTTTGTTTTTGTCTTAATATTGATATTTATTATTATAATTCTAATATTGTCTTAATGTAGTTATCGCTAGTTTCAGTCACTTCTTTCAAAAGTAAAAAGACTTTATGGCAATTGTGTCAATGTATGTAAAACGCCTCGTGTCGACAACACGGTTTTCTTCCATGCGATATGAAGATAGGATGGGGGAGGGGAGGCAGTAACTCCTAAAAAGGACAGCAACCTGGTGGTTCATTGGCTAGATCTGTGACCTTTTTGGTATCACAGGTTTAAGGTTCGAATCCTAGCGGTAGTGGTGGTTCAGAGTCCACGTTAAAACTGTAGGTCCCGGTCTAATTAGCCAAAGGTGTGCACAAACAGAGCGACAAACCAATCCAGAAAAATATCGAATAGTTTCAAGGATTTTTGACATTATTGTCATAGATAATCATTTTAGTATTCGATTGGGCTTAGTTCTGTTGGGGAAAAAAGTGTTTATAGTTGAAATTTACCAACGGCCATACCATGATGAATATACCGGTTTGATGATTCAAAATATGTGAAGATGGGGCTCAATTCTGATATCGACTGCTTGGGAGAACACGTTCCATGGTGCTGGTATTTATAATCTCTCATGCTGGCCGCTTAGTGGCATGAGGAAATTTATAAACAAAGCTCATCTGTAACATTGTGGTGTACTGGTAGAAAATAGAGAAATAAAGTTTTCTTGAAAGCTACAGAGCTTTTTTTCTCAATTTTAGGGTTTTTTTTATTTGTACTATAATTGAAGCTGTTTATTAAGTATTTTATTAGTATCTATTAGTATTTTATTAATCTATTATCTAATTATCCAAAGGTGGGGCTCAATTTAGATTCTCTGATCTCGGCTGCCTCAAAGAACACTTCCGTCGTACTGGTATTTATGATCAATCATGTTGTCCCTTAGTGGCATGAAGAAATCTATGAATAAGGATCATCTGTAACATTATGGTGTACTGGTAGAAAAATTGAGAAAAAAAAGTCTACTTTTGAAATCTAGAGATTTTTTTTTATCAGTTTTTTGGGTTTTTTTTTTATTTGTACTGTAATTGAAGCTATTTATTAAGTATTTTATTAGTATTTATTGAGTATTTTATTAATATATATCTGTATGTAACTATCCAAATATGTGGCTCAATTCAGACTATATCTCGACTTCTTGATCGTGATGGTTCCATCGTACTGGTATTTATGAATAACCATGTTGACCGCATAGTGGTATGAAGAAATCTATGAACAACAGCTCATCTGTAATTTTTGGTGTACTAGTAGAAAATAGAGATAAAATGTCTCCTTTGAAAGCTAGAGAGCTTTATTTCTCAATTTTTGGTGTTTTTATTTTATTTATACAGTAATTCAAGCTATTTATTAAATTTTATTAGTATTTATTAGTATTTTATTAATCTATAAATGTTTCTAACTTTCTGAAGGTGGCTCCCAATTTAGACTTTCTGATCTCGATTGCCTGGGAGAACACTTCCATCCTAGTGATATTTATGAACAATCATGTTGTCTGCTTTGTGGCATGAGGAAATCTGTGAAAAAAAGTTCATCTGTAATATTGAAGAATACTGGTAAAAGATTTGAAGAAAAAAAGACTCCTTCTGAAAGCTAGGAAGCTTTTTTTTTTTTTCCTTTCAATTTTTGGATTTTTTTTTATTTGTACTGTAATTGAAGCTATTTATTAAATATTTTCATTATTCTATATCTGTATCTAACTACTTGGAGGTGTGGCTCATTTCAAACTATCTGATCTCGATTGCCTAGGACATGGGTCTCCAAACTACGGCCCGCGGGCTAAATCCGGCCAGCCAGTGTCATCAATCCGGCCCCGCGACAGCTTATTGTTGCTGTAATAAGTTGGATAACAAAATACAGAATGATAATAACTCGGTATTATTGACTTGCTGGGTAAAGCTTAATGACAAGCATAATACGCAGAAAATTTAACTTAAGCATAACAACTAACAAATAATTGAAATGAATCCCACTAACATTATATACTAGTGAACATCCCGCGGTTACCCTCGGTAGTTATGTTGGAGTAAACAGTATCGCATATGTATGTATATCGATGTTTGTAATGTATATATCCTGAATCAAACATATTATTTTATCCTGAAAATCCCTCAGGAACGGAAAAGCTAAATTAAAGCGAATGAAACAGCGGGGTATCCACTTGTCGTCAAGTGTCACGGTCGTATCGATAAGCACAATAGCAATTGTAGTAATTGAACCAGCGAATTTAGCAAGCGTATGCTCGCTCAGAGCGCGTACTCAGCGACTAGTCTAGAAATTATGGATAATGGCAGAAAAATTAAAACGGCCCTTGGCCCCTGGTAGTTACTGGAGTAAACAGTCTGGCCCTAAGGCTGGAAAGTTTGGAGACCCCTGGCCTAGAGATCTCACTTCCATCCCGTATTTAAGATCTATCATGTTGTGGCGCTTAGTGGCATAAGGAAATCTATGAATAAAGCTCATCTGTAGCATTGTGAAGTACTGGTAGAAAATTGAGAAAAAGTCTTCGTCTGAAAGCTAGGGATTTTTTTTTATTTGTACTGTAATTGGAGCTGTTTATTAAGTATTTTATTTGCATTTATTAGTATTTTATTAACCTATACCTGTATCTAACTGTTGTTTTCTTTCTTTCTTTTTTTTTTTTTTATTATTCTTGGTTTTTCATTCCAAATAAAAATGTCTAAAAGCACTCTCTAAAGATGCATATACCTTGATAGGACAGGCATTATTATAGGTGTATTAATTTTTACTGTTAGTAAAATAAAAATATAAAAGGCAAATTTTTTCAATTCCTACTACTATTAGTTCACACTATACCTATATATATCTTGTTCAAATTTTCAATCGTTAATAAAATACTTTTTATTCATCCACTCAAGTTCAAATATATTTTTGAACTTGTAGTGGATAACACTTTAATGAATTAATTTTATTTTTTTTAGATTTAAGTTGCATGTATCTAATAATAGATGGCACCAGATGTAAGAAGAAAATTTCAGTAAAGGACTTTTCGGCAATATAATGAAAAAAAGTAGGAATTGACTTTAAAAAAAAAAATTTTTGTATATTACTTATTATCTAATTATTCTCGAATTTTTTTAATTGAAGCTTTATCCTTTTTCAGGAACTCTAATATTAGACCTCCTTAGAATTCTGTTAGTCTTAAATGTATTGCTTTGCATTTTTTTATTAAAAATATTTTATTGAATTTTGAATTTTATCTATAGCATATTCATTGTAAAACTGTTAAAAACGACATTCATGTGATATGTGTTTCCTACTGTGCATTCATTACAGAAAATTAAATAAAATAAATATAAACACATTTTACAGAATATATTTTATTAAACTTTATAATACAATACATATGGAAAACACAAACAATAGAGAAATATCTTTGCATAATTATATCACATTATGTACAATACATCTTGTAATGCCTTTTGAAAGACAACACGCAATACAAAATTTTCTGATACATTACAAATAACATCGGTTACCTTGATAATATGAGTTCATAATTTTTCAATTTCTTACCATTTTGTTGAATAACTTTAATGCTTTTACAATACTCTTATACTTTTAAAAAGAAACTTATTTGTTTTTCTAAAATGAATTAAGATGCATTTAGAATAATTCTAATGATTCTTGGATTAATTTCCTCAGAAAAAAGAATGCATCAAATATAAATCAGAATTATATCTGAAAACAGGTATGATGTTTGATTTTTTTGATGGATAAAAAGGGTTATATTCAATTTTAGAATGGTAAGCAATAGAAGTAATTTTGACGTTGGATGTAATCAGTCGATTTTAAAGTTGACCAAAATAACATGTTGCATATAGCTTTCAATAACAAAATTCATTACTAAAACGTTGAATCTTCTATTTTTCATTGTTATTTATAGTAATTTTATATACAATCATGTTTTATAAGGTCCTTATGAAACAATGTCCTTAAATATACATCATGGAATCTTCTTTTTTTCAAAAAAAGTGGCACTTATATGGTTTATACTTTTCCTTCATTTGGTTTCACAACTTTTCTACTTTCTCTGACCTTTCGGCTTCCAGTCCCTCCCCGTCTTTCTTTTGGCAAATATTCCTCCTTGTTCTCTGATGCTGAATGTTGGGTGAAGATGATCCTGCTGACGCCATTTCCGTGTTTTTGTACCATCTCCCTGGATCCTTTGATTTGACGAATTCTTTTGATCGCCCACGCTGCTGCGGAATATCAGTTCGTCCATAGAAGGATCGTATTCTTCGAATTCGCCAATCTCTGGTCTTTTAGGCTTGGTGGGCTTGTCCAAGTTTCTCAAGAACTTGGGATCTGAATCGACAAGTTGGCTGAAGGACTGGGGAGCTTCCTGTGGTGCCTCGAAATGTTGGGGACGTCTAGGTTTGTAAGAATCTTCTTCGACTTCTTTTTGGGTTCCTGACTTCTCTCTTCGAACTGTTCTCTCTGATCGAATGGTTCTTCTTCCTCATCTGATGATGAACCACC